GCCAGCGACGACGGCCAGTGGCGCACCGCGGCGGCCAAGGAGTACCCGAACAGGATGTGCCAGGCCATCGCGACCGCACTGGCGAAGCAGATAAGGTGGCGCTTTGGCGAGTCGCCTAGCGACGTCCACGGGTGGCACATAGACGACGACGTGGCCCACTTCTTCCAGCCGCTCGACCGCTACAAGACCAGGGAGATGGGTCAGGACTACCATCGTGGCCCAGCGAGGCGAGGGGGCCCACCGACCTGGTTGGACGAGGCACGGGAGTGGGCCCTGCAGGACCGACCCGACAAGGCAATGGGCAGGACCACCAACTCGACAGGAGCTGTTCGGGCACAGGCTGACGACGCGGATCGCGACGAAGTGCCCTGACGACAAGTACAAAAGGATCAGAACGCAAGTCCTGAGGAAGCCCCGAGTGCGTGGGAATACCTCAGGCTACGTCGCCAAGTTTTGCACAAGTCATCAGGACGCAAGTCCTGGGGAAGCCCCGAATGCGAGGGAACACCCCAGGCACACGTCGCCACGTTTTGCAGCAGTGACGGACACGGCCGCCGTTCAGCCAGCGCTCAGAGGTACCGGCCAGATTACCCCAACTGCACCAAGTACGAGTCAACGCTGCCCTGGTGAGGCAAGGATCAAACTTCGAGACGGGCTCGAAGGGCGGGGGGGCAGGACGAGGACTGCCCGCGTCTACCAGGGGGGATGGTGAGGGGCAGGGGGGGGGCAGGACGAGCACTGCCCGCGCCCCCGCGGTCCGCCCTAGCTCGCCACCCCCACCATTCCCATGGCGGAGATGGAGCTCCCGAGCGCCCAAGGGCGAAGCATAGGGCAGCGTTGACCTTCCTCATCGACAGCAGAAGAATCACTGGGCCTGGGATTCGCCCCCACCGAGGGCACTGTGACCCCTAGCCATAGCGGGACGAGGTAGGGCCGCCATGAACCCTACTTGAAGTCGGTGCATGGAGGCCTGAGTGCGCCCACAATCTATTCCACCTACCAGCAACAAGCCGACCCCCAACGACCTCTAACCAGCACGACAAGTACCTCATCGGCTGAGACGAGTACCAGGAGCCTGGGTCCAATACATGACTGGTACGAGGGCCACGTGGATGGGCAGAGCAGAGTCGACAACAATTGCGACCAGCATGACTGAGTCGAGTACCGCAAGCTCGATGGCGACAGTACTATGCTCTACTACACGACCAACGACCAACGAAGTGGCCCAGAGAGGAAGCCGGGTCGTCGGGGTTGGTCACTGCTGAGCCAACCAGAGCTACCTCGACCAGCACGACTGAGTCGAGTATCACGAGATCGAGGGCAACATAATCAGGCGGTACCTCAAGAGCGTGGACTACCGACGCGTCCATCGAGGAGGAGGGCTTCCCCGACCTCGCTGACGAGGCGAGGGAGTGGGCCGCCAACACCGTCCTCGACAAGGGCCAGGGTAGGACCACCAGAACGTCGAGTTCTGAGAGGGCGCGGGCCTCGGGGCTCGTGAGCCGCCGACGGCGCCTGAAGGGGCCGCGACTACGGGGCCCCTAGGGGCCGTAATTTGGTGCCTCCCCCTTACCCCCACATCGCTCTCATCCAGGCCTGGCCCAGCAGGGATCCTCACCGTTGGCCTTCTGGCTCTGGAGGGGTTAGGGGGAGGCACACCAGGTGGGCCTTCTGTCCACCTGGTCCCAGCGCCTGTGCGCTGCCGCCCAGGCAAGGAAATCTGCTGGACAGGGGCGGATATCCTGGGCGGCAGCGCAACGGGCCACATCCCAATTCGGCATCTCGAGGCAGTCCGAGGCTCCTCCCTTTTGAGACCTTCGTTGCCCTTCCCCCCCTTCTCTCGGAGGCCTTCGGACTGCCACCTGGCTCGCAGGCTTGCCTAGGCCTCGCCCCCCCCCGCTCCTCCTCCACCCCGTCATCTGGGAGGCCTCTTTCCTCTCTCCCTGGGCGCCCCCCCCCCCCCAGCGCCGAGGGCGGGCGCCAGCGTGTCGGCCGCGCGCGCGGCCAGGCATGGGCGCAACGGCGCCCCCGATGCGGCGCAGGGATCACCCTCTTGCCGCGGCAAATAGCGGAAATAGCGGAGGAGGAGGGGGAGGAGGGGGAGGAGGGGGAGAAGGAGGAGGAGGAGGAGGAGGAGGAGGAGGAGGAGGAGGAGGAGGAGGAGGAGGAGGAGGAGGAGGAGGAGGAGGAGGAGGAGGAGGAGGAGGAGGAGGAGGAGGAGGAGGAGGAGGAGGAGGAGGAGGAGGAGGAGGGGGAGGAGCCTCTTGCCAGCCAGGCGCTGCGCCATCCGCTCCTGCCCAGTCTTGAAGGCATGTGCCGCCTCAGCTGCCTGACCGAGCATCGTCTTGATAGCTACAGGACCTCGCTCTGCAGCCTCGACGCTCTTTCTGTCAACTCCTTCCCCATCTGTCTGATCCATCTCATGCTCCCCGTCGTCGAAGCCGAGCCTCGCGAACCACAACGGGATCTGGTCAATCGTGCCGTCGAGAATCTTGGCCACGCTGAGCGCAGCCACCTGCTGGAACTGAGACTGACCGACCTCCATCACGTGCGCGTTGAGCTGACCCTTGAGACATGACGGATCGAAGACGGTGGCGCTCTACACCACAGGAAACATACAGATCATCGTAGGAAAAACGGTGGCGCTCGAAAAAAGGCTGGGGAGGGGGGGAAGGAGAAGGAGGAGGAGGAGGAGGAGGAAAAGAGAGGAGGAGGAGGAGGAGGAGAAGGAGGAAAATGGAGGAGAAGGGGGGAGGAGCAGGCGGAGGAGGAGGAGGAGGAGGGAGGAGGTGGAGGAGGAGGAGGAGGAGGAGGAGGGCGGAGGAGGTGGGAGAGGACGAGGGGGGGAAGAGGAGGAGCAGGAGGAGGAGGAGGAGGACGAGGAGGAGGAGGAGGAGGGGGAGGAGGGAGGAGGAGGGAGGAGGAAGAGGAGGAGGGAGGAGGACGGAGGAGGAGGGGGGAAGGAGAAGGAGGAGGAGGAAGAAGAGGAGAGGAGGAGGGAGGAAAAGGAGGAAAATGGAGGACGGGGGCAGGAGCAGGCGGAGGAGGAGGAGGAAGGAGGAGGAGGAGGAGGAGGAGGAGGAGGAGGCGGCGGCGGCGGCGGCGGAGGAGGTGGGAGAGGACGAGGGGGGAGCTGGACGGGGAGGAAGTGAGGCACCAGGAGGGAGGAGCCCCTCCCCCCCCGCCCCCCTCGCCCTGCTTCTCCGGCAGCCCCCGCGCGCCGCCCGGGGGGCGCGCCGCCCCCCCCCCCCGCCGCGGCCCCGCCCGCCGGGCGAACCCTGGGCAGGGCGGCGCACCGACCCGAGCGCCCCCCCTGGCCCCCCCCCCTGGGGGCGCCGCGGCCGACCCTCAGCCACGCGCACAAGTCGGGGGCGGACAGACCTCCTACCCTGACGCGTCGATGGAGGAATGGGCCGTTTTCGATCCGCGAGGAGGCGTCGCGGCCGTCGTTTTTGCGGGTCCACATCCGTCGGTTTCGGTCACGAGCCGTTCTCACTAAGGGGAGAGTTACTAAAGGGAGGTTTGTCCACCGCCGAAAAAGGGGGGACACGGATCACTGTATCAAAACTGAAGAACACATTCGCACATAATCAACAACAGCGGAAACAAAAACGTTCCCAGAGTAGTTTGGACTATTTATATTTACTCCTCCCGTAGAGGGACACGCCCGATTTTTGGCGCTCGTCGCTGACTGCAGCCTCCAGGGCCCGTGGTCTGGCCCCTGGGCCACCAGACATATCTGCACGGGCCAAAAGCTGGCCCCCGGGAAGGGGACTTCGGGGGCAACATGGCCGCGGAGGGGGCCTGCAGCCCCCCCTTCCCTGATCATCGGATACTGGAATGTTCCAGTCGCGACCGGCGAGATCGGTCGCTAACGATTGTGCTTCAAATTTCGGTGCTTCGGTCGCGACCGAGTTGCTTCAGAATCGGTCGCGGCCGATCGGTCGCGACCCATTCGGAGTATCGATCGGTCGCCAGGACGGTTAGGGGGAGGGGGGAGTCGAACAAAAACAGCGCCATAAGCAGAAACTTTTGGCGCTCCGCGCGGATTTCTTGGATCCGCGCTGGGCCCCCGCCGGCGGCGCCTCCGGCGGCGCCCCTGGCGCGCTCCGTGCGCCAGGGAGGGGGGTCCAGCGCAGATCCAAGAATTCCGCGCGGAGCGCCACAGTTTTCTGTGTACGCCTTTTGTATTCTTCTTTTAGAGGAAGGCTTGTTACAGTCAACCCGCATAGTAAGGATCAGAGCGACTCTCCAAGGTTCCCCCTTCTGTCCTTCCACTCTGGGACCATCCTTGGCCGCCTTAACAGGCCGCGCCCCGCTCGCACAGCGTCGAAATAACCTTCCAAGGTCCTTACATTAGGTTGGGCAGGTCCCTCTACAGGAAGAATCGATTCAAACATTGTCAAACATAGTCTTGGCATGATTTGCAGTTTTTTTGTTTAAGTAGTTTGAATATGTTGAGTATGTTTGATTCTCCGTCCGAAGTCCGCCTGTAGTAGGACACGCCCGACCTAACCCTTGTATCCTTTTCGTGCGTCCTTATGCTTTGGGCTGACTGCAGTGAGATGGGGAAGGACTCTTGGCAGCACCTGGCTTCTCAGAAGGCGCGGACCTTGTCCAGAGATGTTCGGCCGGCGCCCTCTGAGAAGCAGCCTCCTTCTGGGAAGCCTTCCCCCTCACCCCTACTCCCTTGGGCGCGCCGCCAATACTTACGTCGGGTCTGTCCCTCTACGGGAGGAACAAACAAACATAGTCAACAAATAGTCTGGGGACGATGTGTTGACTATTTTTGAGCATTTTTAGAATATGTGTGTTGACAATTTTCTATTTTTCTCAGCGAGCGAAGAACGGTATAAAATAATGTTTGCAGGGACAGGCGCCCCCGACAGCGAAACAGTTTATTTTATACCGTTCTTCGCCCGTTAATTTTCCTCCGAAATCCCCCTGTGGGGGGACAGGCCCGACCTAGCCCTCCTCCCTGGTGCGCGCCGCCGAGACCCATGCCGCAGCACGGCGGCCCCCCCGAGGGAGCCCCGGCGGGCACGGCGCCGCCGGCCCGGGACGCCGGCATCGTGGAGCTCTGCCGCGACAGCAGGTCCTCAGCGGGGGGGGAAGTCACCACCCACCAAACCACCCCAACCCAACCCGAAGGCCCAAATTTATCCTCGATTGCCAGTGGGGGGGGGTCGGGGAAACTGAAAAAACACATGGAACCCGTACCCCCCCCCACCCGAAATTCGGGTCAAATTCGGGTCTTCGGGTTGGGTTGGGGTGGTCTGGTAGGTAGTCAGGAAGGAAGTTCTGCCGCGACATCAGGTCCTCTCGGGCCGGGCGAAAGGGGGGGATTGGGAAAGGGGGGGTTACGAAATTTGCTGCATGCAGCTGGTTTCGGCCTTACCGAGGGGCCCATTCCTCGATACATGGCCGCCTCCCGGCGCCGGGAGGCGACGGGAGAATCAGCTACGTGAGCTGATTCTCACCCCCCCCCTTTGCTATCCCCCCCTTTCGCCCGACCCGACCCTCAGGGGGGGGAAGGGGTGCCCCAGAGCCCTCCCAGATTCAAGCAGTGGCGAAGCGTCCCAGCTCGCCGATAGGCCGAGCAACGAATGTTCTAAGAGCCTCTTGTGGCCTGCACGGCGTGCTCTTCGGACGTTTCTGACTGGGACTGTCTTGTTTGAGCACATCGGGTTTCTGTTCTAAGAATGTCGTTTTTTGTGATTCGAACATTTTGGGTTCTGAAGGCATTTCGTGGTATTCCTATGGGAATGCCGGGACGGTCGGTCCCTGCTCAACAGATAGGGTCCGAGCAGATGGGGTTGGAGGATCGCGCCAATTCGCCGATGCATCGGCGCTGCGGCTCGCTGAGTAGCCCAAGCGCTCTCAACGCCGACGTCGCCGATGCATCGGCGATGCCATTGGCGATGCGGCGCGATCCTCCGACCATATCTATTCGGACCCCATCTATCTTGATACTGGCACTGCTCGGGGCCCCTCAGACGGTGTGGTGACCACATCGTGTGGTGAGACAGGGGCGACTCGGAGTCACCGCACGGTTTCGGGTTTTGGGTAGTTTTCCGAGGACGTCTCGGGCCATCCCGGCCCCAAAGCCGTGCGGCGACGGACCGCCCGGTGAGGTCTCTTGGGAGTTCGAGGTCACCGCGCGGTCTGTCACCACACGATTTTCGAATAGGAGATCAGTACGGAATTTATGTTCTGCAGATTTTTTTGTCGTCCAATCGCCGACGGAATACGTAGCAGTCCACGAACGTTTTGCTCTTTCCCTTCTAGATAGGACGAAACAATCTATTCCGGGGTAAAACAATTCTGCTGTTGATCCCTGCTCGCGGTTTATGGACCCCCAAGCTGCCAAGTTTCAATTTTATCTCGTCGCCACGGGCGAATCGCGCCCTGGGAGAGGCCTACGAAGCAGCAGTATCGGTACCGTTCTGGTTCCCCATGCTGGGCCGATGTTCCACCACCGCTACCATCGTAGCTAGGAGACGGGGCAGGATGGGGAGGAGGACGAGGAGGACGAGGACGAGGAGGAGGAGGAGGAGGTGGAGGAGCGGGAGAAGGAGCAGGGGCAGGAGGAGGAGGAGGAGGACCTCCCCATCCTTCCTTCTCCCGTCGACTGGCGGCGACCCAAGCGCGGGCGTTCAAGGTTGAACGCCGCCTGTGGCCCAGAATCGGCCCATCCTTGAACGATCCAGCGTTGATGGAAGGGCCGATAGCTCAAGTTTGAACGATCCCCGCGGTATCAGGAACCAACGCTTGAGTCGACACGACGCGAACCTGCCGTATAACAGGGGAGAAGGGAGGATGGAGAGGTACCCCTTCTCCTCCTTCTCCTCCTCCTCCTTCTCCTCCTCCTCCTCCTTCTCCTCCCCTTCTCCCCTGTCCTCCCCTATGATTAATGTGATGATGATGGTGAGGAGGAGGAGGAGGAGAAGGAGGAGGAGGAGGAGGAAGAGGGAGAGGAGGAGCAGGAGCAGGAGGAGGAGGAGGAGGAGGAGGAGGAGGAGGACCTCCCCATCCTCCCTTCCTCCCTTGTCCTCCCTAGGGTGGTGGGGAAAAAATTGGCCCATGCGCCCCAGAGGTCCACCGATTCCTCCTCTCCTCGGGGCTGTGCCGTGGCCGTGCCGGCGCCGGCCGCGGCGAGCGGGCGGAGCTTCCGCCGCGTCGCGTCGGCCGGCTCCTCCAGCGCCGCGATCTTGTCGGCCACCCTGGAAGAGCGGCCCAAGGCTTCGGTCGGGCATGACCTGCAGGCGGTTTTTGGATTTTTGTTTTTTTTGTTGTGTTTTTGTGCTCCGGTTTTGTGTGGCAGCTTTTTTGTACACATATGGATATGTATACAGATATGGTTACATTTATATATATATATATATATATATATATATATATGTATGTTTGTACGCCTGTATGTGTGTATGTATGTATGCATTTCTACATATATATTATAATATATATATATATATATATATATATAATATTTATACATATATATACATATATATATATATATATATTCTCATACGCACCTCTCCGAGGGAGTAGAGCTCAGAGGCGATTAATGCGCACGTCGTTCGCGATTTGTCTGGCCGTTTCGCTCGGGACATCCTCGAAATTCTGAAAATCGGTGGCACCCCTCACGCAGATCGTGACGTCAGGGTCCAAAAACACATGGGAATTTCAACATTTTAACATAAAACCTTCAAAAACACATGGTAATTTCAATAATTTTGACCCCGATTCTCAGAGAATGGCGGTTTCGCCTGAGACATCCTCCCAAAATCGAGCCCCAGACCCCTCCTCGGAGCCTCCTGGGGGCCTCCTGGAACCTCCTGGGGCCTCCTGGGGCTTTCTGGACCTTCTGGTACCCCAGACCCCGCCTCGGAGCCTCCTGGAGTTCTCCTGGGCCTGCTGAGGCCGCCTGGGGCCTCCTGGGGGGGCTTCAGAACTACATGCACACACAGAGACACAAATCACGCCCAACACATCACACGCTAGACAAACATAACATACACACAACACCGACAACACACAAAAAGCACGCACCACACAAAGCACACATCACACACACAACACTCACAATCCTGGGGCCTCCTGGAGCCTCTTCTGGTATCCAAGTCGGGCCTCCTGAGGCTTCCTGGGGGGCCCTGGTACACACATCGCAAGGTGTGGCAACCCCACTTGCGCTCGAGTGCGACTTCGCTGTTGCATGTCACTCCTGCTTCAAACGCCCCTTCAGCTTGTTGTATGAGCCTGGGCACACACGTGCCACTTGTATATATATATATACACATATGCATGTATATATATATATACATACATGCATATATACATATCTATATATATGTATATGTACACATATATATATATACATATTATGAATAGAAACAGCCAATCATTAAGCAACACATTAAAATGCAGAAACATCATCCCCATATTATTTGTGTGACCATTCTTGAATATCCCTCCTGCAGAGGGACACGCCCGACTGAACCCAAGGCCCTGGGAAGGCCAAAGGAGCAGTCCAAGCACGGGCCTCCAATGCCCTATCGAATGGCCTTCGGCCCATCCCGCTTCCGTGCCCGGGTTGTGGGTTTGAATCCTATTGAATGGTCGTTGGGATCTCGTGGGAGGCCTTTCGGGGTCCTCTTTGGGGCACTTTGCAGGCCTCTTGGGGTCCATTTTGTGGCCTCTCTTGAGCCTGGGGCCTCTTCGGGGCCTTTCGGGGCCTCGCCCTAGGCGTCTCTTGGAGCCTCCTGGGGCCGCTTGGGGCGAAAGGCTCGGATTATCGGTTTGTGTTTCTGCTTTTGGATCCCTTTTTGGACCGTCTTGGGAGCCTCTTGGGCCGTCTTGGGGCGCACTTCGGCCGTCTTGGGGCCCTCTTGAAGGCCCCTTCCTCCATTTGGGAGTGGTAGGGGGCCGTCTTGGAGTGTCATCCTTCAAATGCCAACGGATGATCGGTGATTTTTGCCTCTTTGGGCCCTCTTGAGGCGTCTCGGAGGCCTCCTGGCTCATCTTCAGGCCATCTTTGGCGTCTTGAAGCGATCTTTCGGGCGCTCTTAGCCCAACTTAGACCCCTCTTGGGCCGGAGAAAGTTACGCGAGAAGTTGCGGGGGAGCCCCGGGGGCACGCTAGGAACCCCACGGGTACCGCGGCAAGCCCCGAGAGATTCTTAGGCTTACGCCACACCGCCGACCCCTTGTTTATGCCAATCTGGGGGTAGTAGAAGCTGCGAAGGGGTGAAAAGGCGAGTGATATTTGTTTGGTGTCTGTTCGCCGCCACCGCCAGAGGGTCTCGGGCAGTTCCGCGGGGAGGTCCGAGCGGACGGCGACACCGCGAGTTTTGGAGCCACTCGGGGGCCGTTTCGGAGCCTTTGGGGTGCTTCTTGGTGGTTCCTTGGGGCGTCTGGGCGGCCTCGTGAGGGCCTCTGGGGGCCTCTTGGGGCACTCTTGTGGCCCCCTGGGGCTCCTGGGGGCAGAACACTAGAGTTTCAACATGTTTGGTCGCCCTCTTGGGCCCCTATTGGTGCCGTCTTGGAGCCTTCTTGGGCCGTCTTGGGGACCTCTTGGGCCGTGTTGGGGCCGTCGTGGGCCGTCTGGAGGCCGTCTTGGGGGCCTCTTGGGCCATCTTGGGGCTGTCTATGGGGCCTCTTTGGCCGTCTTGGAGCGTCGGGAAGCCGAAAAGGCGGAAAAGCAAAAAACATCGAGAAACACCATGGAAAATCAACAATTGTAGACTCTTGGGGCCCTCTTGGGAGGGTTGTTTGGGACCTCGGGGGCCGTCTTGGAGACCTCTTGGCCCGTCTTGGGGCCATCGTGGGCGTCTTGGAGCGGTCGTTTGGCGTCTCGGAGCCTTCGTGGGCCGTCTTGGAGGCCTCTTGGGGGCTTCGTGGCCCGTCTTGAGGCCCTCTTGGGCCAGGAAAAGCCCCGTGGATCGCTCGTCCCGGACCCCTCCCCACCTCCAAATCGGCTCTCTTGGGCCGTCTTGGGGACCTCTTGGGCCGTCTTGGGGCCGTCTTGGGCTGTCTGGAGGCCGTCTTGGGGGACTCTTGGGCCATCTTGGGGCTATCTTTGGGGCCTCTTCGCGCGTCTTGGAGCGTCGGGAAGCCGGAAAGGCGGAAAAGGAAAAAACATCGAAAAACACTCTGGAAAATCAGCAATTTTAGACTCTTTGGGCCTTCTTGGGAAGCTCATTTGGGACCTCAAGGCCGTCTTGGAGACCTCTTGGCCCGTCTTGGGGCCATCGTGGGCGTCTTGGAGCGGTCGTTTGGCGTCTCGGAGCCTTCGTGGGCCGTCTTGGAAGCCTCTTGGGGGCTTCGTGGCCCGTCTTGAGGCCCTCTTGGGCCAGGAAAAGCTCCGTGGATCGCTCGTCCCGGACCCCCCCCCCTCCAAATCGGCCCTCTTGGGCCGTCTTGGGGACCTCTTGGGCCGTCTTGGGGCCGTCTTGGGCCGTCTGGAGGCCGTCTTGGGGGAGTCTTGGGCCATCTTGGGGCTATCTTTGGGGCCTCTTCGCGCGTCTTGGAGCGTCGGGAAGCCGGAAAGGCGGAAAAGGAAAAAACATCGAAAAACACGCTGGAAAATCAGCAATTTTAGACTCTTTGGGCCTTCTTGGGAAGCTCATTTGGGACCTCAAGGCCGTCTTGGAGACCTCTTGGACCGTCTTGGGGCCATCGTGGGCGTCTTGGAGCGGTCGTTTGGCGTCTCGGAGCCTTCGTGGGCCGTCTTGGAAGCCTCTTGGGGGCTTCGTGGCCCGTCTTGAGGCCCTCTTGGGCCAGGAAAAGCCCCGTGGATCGCTCGTCCCGGACCCCTCCCCACCTCCAAATCGGCCCTCTTGGGCCGTCTTGGGGACCTCTTGGGCCGTCTTGGGGCCGTCTTGGGCCGTCTGGAGGCCGTCTTGGGGGACTCTTGGGCCATCTTGGGGCTATCTTTGGGGCCTCTTCGCGCGTCTTGGAGCGTCGGGAAGCCGGAAAGGCGGAAAAGGAAAAAACATCGAAAAACACTTCTGGAAAATCAGCAATTTTAGACTCTTTGGGCCCTCTTGGGAAGCTCATTTGGGACCTCAAGGCCGTCTTGGAGACCTCTTGGCCCGTCTTGGGGCCATCGTGGGCGTCTTGGAGCGGTCGTTTGGCGTCTCGGAGCCTTCGTGGGCCGTCTTGGAAGCCTCTTGGGGGCTTCGTGGCCCGTCTGGAGGCCCTCTTGGGCCAGGAAAAGCCCCGTGAATCGCTCGTCCCGGACCCCCCCCCCCCCTCCAAATCGACCGGACCAGGCTCCCGGGGGAGGGGTTTGGGGAGGGGGAAGCATCTCACACGCCGATGATCCCCAAGGGGTCGGCGGATTTGAGAATTTGGTCTCCGGGCCCTTTACAAGACGGTTCCAGGTATGAGGCAAAGGACCTGAGGACACGCCCTCTCCGTGCCCAGAGGCACGGTGGCTGACTTTTCTTCCATCGAGCACAAACGAACCCCGAACCCTAGCAACACGATGAAGACGTGGCTTCACTGAGGTCCCCGTCTTGGCATTAGGGATCATAATTCTGGGTGGTTCGGTCTGACAAATCGGCAGACAAAACATCAACCCCTATTCCTAATGTTTCTGGCCCCCCTAACTTGGGTCCCCTCCCAAAGGGTGAGGGGTACTTTTTGATCAGTCATTTTTTCAGCCTCGGGCCTCGATTCTTGACGGTGTTTTCTTGTCTGTTTGTCATGCTTTGGCCTTCGCTTGGCTTCTGGTGCGGGCAGGACTCGTGCCCATATCCTCTGCAGCTTGGAGTTGCAGGGTCCCTTCCCCAAGGCGGGTTTTATACACATCCATTGCGCCTCGGCCTTGCGGTGCCCCTTCCAAGAACGTCCTAGACGCACTGGATATGGATACCGTGGGGACACATGCCAAGAAACACCCTGCTTGCCTGCAGAGTGCCCTGGGCTTCTTGGGTTTCGATGGTTTTGCGATGTGAAGCGTTTCGCTTCCACGCCAAACATCAGTGGACGTCATGGGGTCTCAGGGCTGGGCTTCATGTGTCACCACCCGCCAAACCATCCCAACCCAACCCGAAGGCCTCAATTTGCCCTCCGCTTCCAGTGGGGGGCGGGTCGGGAACCTTGAAAAAACATATATATATATATATATATATATATATATATATGGAACCCGCACCCCCCCCAACCCGCAATGCGGGTCTTCGGGTCGGGTTGGGGTGGTCTGGTAGGTAGTCATTGTGGAAGGTTTCTTTGTGGACGGACCTGTTGGGCTGGGGTGGTCTGGTAGGTAGTCATTGTGGAAGGCTTCTCTGTGGACGGACCTCCGCTTTGCATACACACTGCCCGCACCGGGGGCGCCCTTGGCCGCCAGCGGTGGCCCACGGGAACGCGGGCCCGGCCCCAGCGCGTCCTCCTCCGCGAGCGGGAACCGGTCCACGGCGACGGCGATGCGGTACCTCGTGAGCCGGCTGGCCGTGTCGGACCTCGGAGGGATAAGAGGAAGCACGCCTGTTGGGCCAATGTTCTTCCTCCACCGCTACCACAGGCGTGAGAGGGAGGGGGAGACGGAGGAGGAGGAGGAGGAGGAGGAGGAGGAGGAAGAAAAGGAGGAGGAGGGTAAGGGTGGTATCTTTGTGTAGGCGGCTTGTGTGTAATGGTGAGATGTAATATCCCCATCATCGTTATCATCATGATCATCAGCATCATCATCATTATCATCATCATCGTCATCATCCTCATCCTCATCATCATCACCATCACCATCACCATCACCATCACCATCATCATCATTGTCATCATTGTCATCATCATCATCATCATCATCATCATCATCATCATCATCATCATCATCATTATCATTATCATTATCATCATCATCATCATCATCATCATCTTCATCATCATCAGCATCATCATCATCATCATCATCGTTACCATCATTGATCATCACCAGTATCATAATCAGCATCATCATCATTATCATCATCATCAACATCTCGTCTTCATATTCCTCCTCCTCATCTCCCCTCTCCTCCGCGCAATCAACGTCGAGCGCCTCACGCTGTGCAAGGCGATGTGGTGCTCGCTGCCCAGCGCCATCGGGCCGGTGCGCACGGTCGTGCGGCCGTGCGACCCCGTCGCGGCGGGCGTGGCGTCGGCGGGGTTTCTGCGGGCGCAAGGTTCCGTTCCTGGCCGACCGGTCGAAGGCCATCTCCTTGCCGGTTGGCCCGATCGTCTCCGCCGTCACGGCGTGCATCGGCGGCACCGCGTCCCAGTTTTGGGGCGGGGAGGCCCGTTTCTTGCACCAGTGGGGCTTCGAGCTGATGCAGAACTTCGTCGGGCTCGACGCGGTCGCGAGCGCCCGGTTCGCAGAGGGCCTGCGCGCGTTGGGCGTCCAGGTCTGCTGGCTGGTCGCCGACACGATGGCGCTGGCTGAGTCGGGCGCGCATGTCCAGGTGCTGGCGATCTTCACGAAGGTGTTGAGCGCTTGCGTCGGGGTGTCGGTCTCGTAGGGCAGGCGCGCTGTCATCTCCGCTGGCGGCACGGTGTCGACTGTCTTCGTCGCGGTCCTGGCGGTGCTGACCCCGGCGACGCTCCGCAAGGCCGTCGAGACTGGCGAGATGCCGGACTTCGTCAGCGAGGTGGCCCAGCTGATGGACACAGCGGCGGCGGCTGGGGGCACGCAGGAGGAGCGGCCGCAGCTCCTCGCCGAGAGCACCGGCATCGGCTTCGCCAGCTTCGAGGAAGCCGCGGGCAAGCAGTTGGCGGCGCTGGCGACCGTCAGCTCGTTCTCCTTCGAGAAGGCACTGGCGACCAACATGTCCGGCTCGAAGAACGAACGCCATGACGGCGGCGGCGAGGATCCGCTTGGCTCTCGAGGCGATGGGCGCCATCGGGACCTTGGCCGCGACCCCGGCTACGAGGACTGCTTGAAGAAGATGCTCTACCTCGACATGGAGAGATACATCGTGCAGGCGACGCTCCGGCGCAGCCTGACGGTGCGCGGCAGGTCGGTCCTGGGCGCGTAGCCGGCGAGTCGGCGACGGGCCTGATGTCGTGGTGCCTCGCGACGAAGGCCGTCGGCGCGGATGACTGGATCCGCGCCGACGCGATCTCGCTGACGTTGATGGCCGCGCTCGACGACCTCATCGAGTGGCAGAAGGCCCAGGGCATCTCGATCGCGCAGATCTCGGACACGAAGGTCTTCGGCCCTCTGCTCACGGCCAACCGCGGCTAGGCGGCCGCGGGTGGTCCGGGTGCCGCGGCGCGCGGGTCAGCATTCGGGCGCCGCCGCCGCAGCGCGGGGCCGGCCGCCGCCGTCCCCAAATTCGTCATGCGTTTCATCCTCTTCTCTCGTCGAACCGCGTTCGTTTTTTTCCACTCGCCTCCGTTTTTCCTGGTCCTGTCTCGGCGCGCTCGGATGAATCATCGAGTTGGCGTGCCTCCGCGCAATCAAATACAATCTGACGTCTGTACAATCGAACGCAATTAAAAGGCCACACGCTCAAAGCGTTCACGAAACCCACATAACCAAAACAAGCAGAAGTCCATGCGATCACAACCAGAGGGCCCATACACTTGAAAACAATAAGGAGCCCATGCGTTCAAAAACAAAAAGAAAGCCAGGCAATCAAACTTAATAAGAATACGTTTTGGGTCCACGAAGCCTGTGAGGGTCGTCCAACAAATGAAGGCAACACACATAAACGTAGCAATGGTGATTCCAATTCAACCAGACATCAAGTGTTTTCGGAACTTGAGGCTGCCTGGGCGGATCTGGCCTGGAGGGGCCCAGAGGAAATCCGAACTCCCGAAAACCATTTTTTTTTCCGGGAACCATCACCGTTTTTTTTTGTTCCTTTGTTGGAACCTTCACGTTTCGTGGCGCAGGTTTTGTGGATGGGTCCTCGAAACTTGTGAGGGTTCCGAAACATCCAAACAAAAAAATAAAGCACAACAGTAGAACTTGTGAGGGCTCCGCAAATAACCGAAAACCAATGGTTTTCATGAATTCGGGCTACCTCCAGGCCCCTCCAGGCCCGATCCGCCCAGGCAGCATGAAGTCCCGAAAACCTCTGATTGTTCTGGGAACCCTCGCGTTTTCTTTTGGGGGGGAGAATCCTCGCAGGGCTCGTGGACCCAATGCGTTTTCTCATTGTTTTTGGTTGTCGGGCTTTCATATTTGTTTTAGTTGTATGGACTTCGTTTTGTTTCCGATTGTGCGGAGTTCGTATTGCTTTCGATCGTATGTAAATTTGATTTGCTTTGATTTAATGGATTTCAAAGTGTGTTTGATTGCGTGATTTTCCCATTGTGTTCAATCGTATGGTTTTCTTATTGATTTCGAGTGTATGGATTTATTATTGTTTTTTTTGCGTGCATGTATTTCACTAGTTTTGGACCGTATGGTTCAAACTTTCGTGGTTGTGTGTATGGGGTCATGTTCTTGATTTTTAATGTAGTTCATGTGTGTCTTAGTGGTGATTGCGTTGTGGAGATGAGTGATGATGAGGAGGAGAGGGGTGCGGGCCGGAATGTATATGAGGAGGAACGTGATGATGTTGCTGGTGACGACAACGATGATTTTGGTGAGGACGGTGGTGATGATGATGTAAGACTGCGCTGCGTGGCGTGTGTTCTTGGTGCTTTCATCAGCATCGCGATCACCATCATGTTCCCATCATGGGTAGTGTCGTCATGATCCTTTTCTTTCTCCTCAATGTCTGCTCCTCCGCGCTACCATAGCAGTAAGACATGCGTACACTCAAACACCGCCATAAGCCCATACAAGCAAAACCAACAGAAAGCCACACATGCAAACACAGTAATAAACACATACACGCAACAACCATATTACACGCATACACCCAAAAATAATCAGAAACCGATACAACCAAGAAAGCTTTGAACAATACGAACACTTGAACCCATGCAAGCAACAACAATAAACCCATACACCCAAGCGCAATACGACAACAAACATATAATCAAACACGCTAAAGAAACGTGTTGGGTCCATTTGCCTACATTTTTTGTTTTGTTTTGTTTTTTTTGTTTCCCCCCCCCCCTCTGGGGTTGTTGTTTGTTTTGTTTTTTTCGGGAATTCCACGGGGTCGGGAATTTCACGGGGTCTGTAGCTTCAACGGCAAGGCAACCTGTGATTATCATTGGAAAAATAATAATACCCAACAGGCAATTACTAAAACTTGTGACTGTCTCAACAAAGCGAAGGTTTTCGCGCGAAGGACCACTCTTCCTCCTCCTCCTCCTCCTCCTCCTCCTTTTCCTCCTCCCCCCTGCCCTTCCGCATCCCGCACGTCCTGCTCCTTCTTCTCCACCTTTTCTTCCTCCACCCCTCTGTCTTTCTCAGTTTTTTGTTGTTGGTGCTCCTGATTGTATGAATTTCTTATTGTTTTGTTTGCGCGGGTAAGACGGGGGCTGATGATGATGAGGAGGAGGAAAGGGAGGAGGGGGAGGAGTGGACGAGGACGAAACTGAACATACGGTGATGGTAGCGGTGATGATGATGATGATTCGGGTGATTATGTTTGACGGTGCTGCAGCTGATGGTGATGATGCTGATGCTGAGGAAGATGATGATGAGGAGGAGAAAAACAATGAGGATAATTGGGCGGACGAGGCGGATTGATGATGATGAGGACAAGGATGCTAATGGATGTGCGTGCTGACGATGATGACGAGGAGGATTGACAGGAGGGATGGTGGTGACGATATTGATGCTTATGATGATGATGCTGGTTCGGAGGAGAAAGAGAAGGAGGAGGACTACGGGTGATGCTGATGGTGATAATGATGAGGAGGAAAACAGCCGGCTGGACTGGCAGGAAAGTCAGCCTTGGTCCATCTACGAGGGTCCGAGATGCAAAGGGTGGCGGGCCCACGAAATTTACGCTTCGCACGCGCAGGCCCGCGGGCGCGCCTTCGGCGCGAAGCCCAACAGTCGGACATTAAATCTCAGCCATTCTATTTCCTGGCGCGTTTCAGTCGCGGTGGCGTGCCTCGCACGCGAGTGCGCGCGCCTTGCGTGCATGTGATCCCGCGCATGGAACGTTAAGCCGACCACTCTGCCATTCGGGCGTCTTCGTTATCATCGTCATCATGATTACCGCCACAATCAACATCTTTGCGTGTAGTTGCCCGCTCACGGGGCGAGCGTGCGCGCGTGCGCGCTTGTGTACCTTGCCGGACAACAGGCATGCGTCCGAACGCGCCCCGCGTCCCTCGGCGCCCTCTCAGACAGGTGACTGCACGTTCCCTCCACGATTGCGCCCGCGCCGGGGGGGCTCACTCGTTCGCCGCGCTAAAGCGGCGACGACGACGACGACGACAACGCCGACGACAACGACGCCGCCGACGACGACGACGATGATGGCGTCGGTGACGGCGACGGCGACGACGACGCCCAGGCCTCCCGAGGTTCCCTTCGAGGTTTCCCTGGCATTCTTTTTAAAGGCATCGGAGGCCCATGGAGGTCCTTGGAGGTTTCCGGGAGAGTCGGGAAGTTTCTTTGGAGTTCACCGACGACGACGACGGCAATGGCGACGGCGACAACGACGACGCCGTCCAGCTGCCCCCAGGGCCCCCCCCCCCCGGAGGTCTCTCCCTGGCGTCTTTTTGGACGTCCTTGAGGTCCCCGGAGGTATCCCCGGAGGAACGAGAACTGGCCCGCTGATTCTCCCGGATTCGCACATATATGTATATATATATATATATATATATATATATATATATGTATATATATATATATATGAATTCTGTTGGGTTCCAATAGCGGATCTTGGCGGATTCCCGCGGATTCCCGTGGATTTTGCCGCGTTTCTAACAAGAGTTCGCGGCAAATTCTCGTGGATTCTTGCGGATTGTCGCGGATTCTCGCTGGTTCTCCTGGATTTTCGCGGGCTCGGCTCTGTCGAGCACCGCTCTCGGGCGGCGCGCGCGCATAAAGGCCGCGAGGGCAGCGGGCGGCGATGACCGTGACCGCCCGCGCGCTTCTGCAGGCTACGGTGTCCGCCTGTGGGCGCCGGGCAGTGCCTGCTGTCGTTCCACCGGGCGCGTGCGATCGCTCGTGGCCGCCTGGCGATGCCAGTCGGTCTTTCCGCCCCTGCGAGCGCCGTTGCGCTCCTGTGAGCGCCTTCCCGGCAGTGCCTCAGAGCGCGCTCGCGCGCCCGAGAACTGGTTTCAAATGGCTGCCCATGTGTCCTCCCAGTGGCCTCCAATGGCCTCCCGCCTCGCTGGCCTTGGGCGCCCGGGTCGGCGTTTGCTGCTGTCCCCCCCGTGGCAGAGTGCATTATCCAGTAGACGTCTGTGGCTGTGCTTTCGCCCGCCGCGGCTTCGCCCCCGTGGATTCGGATGGGTTCGTGCGCGCTGTCCGATAAATTATATTGTTGGGCCAGCGCTCCGACTCTAAATTTGCAAACAGAAAACTCTTTTGAAAATATGCCCAGCGCCAGAGTCGGAAGTGCGGGGCCAGGTCAAATACCAGCTTTCGGCGAGCAGCACAAGTAATTATCGCCGCGTTGGCGCAAAATCGTCGCCGGCAGCCCATCCAGTTTTGCCGGGGGGCCTGGCGCCTCCCGCAACTCCGACTTTCATGCCTCCAT